CCCCAGGGAATGAGGGCCCCCCGGACCGCCCCTCCCCACGGCAGCCAGCCCCCCGCAGGGACAGGACCGGTCCCCCCTGCAGCACCGCAGCTCGGGGGGAAGGCGTTGGCGGCTCCACGTGAACCGGAGCACCGTAAAAATAACCGCTCTGCCTCCCGGGGATGATTCACGGCGCAGCTGAAGGGCTCCCCTCCTGCTGCTTCCACTCACGGATGCTTTTCTTTGCCAGGCAAAGCCGGCGCGGGGCGGGAGATGGGGCACCCTGCGCACATCCTGCGTGTCTGCCCTGGCTCCTGTTTGCTCCCTGCACCCATTCCCTGGCACTAATCCTGGTTGGACCACGTCCATCCAGCTCTGGGGGTGCCCAGAGCCTTCGGGCTGTGGTGGTGGCTCCATGGGCACCAGCAGATGCTGCAGTGGGCAGGTGGGCAACCTGAGCTGGGTGCTGAGCCCAGGCAGAAGTGGGGGGTCTCCTGCCCCCCCGTGCTGCAAGGCTGGGACTTGGAGGACTCAGGAAGAGCCCAACAGCGGGACAAGCTGTGGGCCAGGAAACAGCTCTACGTGCTGACACAGCATAAAGCTTGTCAGAATTTATACCTTCCACCCCCTTTGGAGGGTCCCAGCAGATTTTGGGGTCAGCATCATTTATTCACAAGATGCTGGTGAGTGGGTGATTTGTTTCATTCCTGCCTGGCTGTGCTCCTGTGCCCCCTCTGACCTGGGGAGCAGAGCAGAGCCCTGGTGTGTCCCCCCCTCAGCTAGGGCCAAGGCCATGTCCCCCTTCCCTGCTGGTGACTTTTGGAACACTCTTTGGAAGTGCCCATGGAAGGAGCTGGGGGCACCTGCTCCCTTCTGCCACTGGCAGAGGCTTTGCCCTGGACTTTGACCTCACTTCCAGGTGGTCCTTCCCACACTGAAACTCATGCTGATCCTGAGGTGTCCTGATAGGGAACACAGGACTGTGGAAAGCCCCACCCCCAAGGCTTTGTTTTAGAATAATAGAATAGTTTTGGTTGGAAAAGACCCTTAAAACCATTGAGTTCAATCATTAATCCAGCACTGGCAAGTCCACCACTAAACCATGTCCCTTTGATCCACAGCACAGCCCCACCCTTGTCCAAGCCCATTCCCATGCTCCCTGGCAAGGTGACCCTCTGTCCCCACTGCCATGTGGCCTCCCCTGCCTGTTTCTCCATTTTAGTCTGATTTGATGATGGCCATGCTCAACAGCTGCAGCTCTGGGACCTCTTTCTGCCTCCCTGGGGGCAGGGGACAGCCCTGCACCACATGGGTTGGGTGCACGTGCTCCCTGGAGCCCTTGGATATCCTTGCCAGGTCCCAGGTGCACTTTTTTTCCGCCTCTTTTCCCTTGTACACACATGGAGCAGCAGGGAGATGGTAAAAATAACTGTGATGCATCCTTGCAACTGCTCTGGGCTCAGCTTGCAGCCAGTTCTCCCCAGGGAGAGGAGGAGAGTGAGGGAGTGAACTACACGTGCTGTGGCTCCGTCACGTTGGGCTTGGGGAAGCATCTTGGTTTTGAGACCTTGGTTAAGAGAAGATGGGCTCAGCAAAATGGGTTGTCCTTGAGAGGTCCATGTGAAGAGACCTGTGCAGACGGAGGCCAGCCTAACTGGGATTTTACATCCAATCCAACCTAGTGCATGCCCCTTTCTTTCTGGGATGCTCCAAGAGGGATGGGAAGAAGTCCATCATCCCAAGAAGTCACCACACAACATGAACCGTGGGAGTGGTGTGAAGCTTTTGCCCAGGCACAGCTTTATCTAGTTTATTTATCTAATTATCTGCTTCTTGTTTAAGAAAACCTTGGAGGACAGGCTGGGGTACACACATGGATGTCTAAGAGAACGAGGGGTAATGGATTAAAACTGGAAGAGAGGAGATTTAGGTGAGACATTAGGAAGAAAATCTTTAGTGTGAGGGTGGTGGGACACTGGAACAGGCTGGCCAGGAAATTTATGGAAGCCCCATCCCTGGCAGTGTTGAAGGGCAGGTTGGATGGGGCTTGGAGCAGCCTGGGCTGGTGGGAGGTGTCCCTGCCCATGCAGGGGGTTGGGAATAGATGACCTTTAAGGTCCCTTCCAACCCAAACAATTCTGTGATGGTTCTATGATTCTCCTCTCCACACCCACAGGCCTCTGGGTGCTTGTGCTGGGCAGGGGTGGAGGCAGCTCCTGCCTCTTCCTCCTCCCCAGCCAGTCCATCCCTGAGCTCCACAGCCCCAGCTTGGGGTGGGAAGGGGGTTTTCTATCTGTTTGAGCTGCTGGGGACCCACTGGCACAAAGGTGCCACTGAGCACAGGCTGTGGGCACCGAGGAGCTGGCACCACCAGGAAATAACTTGGAACCTCTCTGGGTGGCTGGGGACAACCCCAGGGCCAGCTGCAACCCCAGTGGGACCACCCAGGGCCACCCCAGGGCCAACTGGAGCAACCAGGGCTGCCCTGAGGCCAACACCTACAACACCGGGACCACCCATGGTCAAACGGGGAAGCAGACGGGGCAACCAGGTGCACACGGCCGCACTGCCGGGCCGCACAGGGACCCCGGCAGGACGCACAGGGACCCCGGCAGGACGCACCGGGACCCCGGCAGGACGCACCGGGACGATCCCGGGTCCATCCCTGTCAGCGCCGCTGAGGCGCCCGGCGAACAGACCCGCCGCTTCCCGCCCCTCTCCCCTCCGCCAATCACAGGCGAGCCTCGAGCTGCCAA